TATATATGTGTGTGTATAAAACTTACAGTAGGAGACACTAAATTAAAATATGACGAGCATTACAAGTTGCTAAAGAGAATCATGTGTGAGTTTGCTCCAGGCTGTTAGTCCATATATTTGCAGCCTCTAACTGCACTTGGTTTTTAGTGTATTACTTTAAATGGTTAGAAGTGGTTGTAGATGTTCTAAGTGGTTTAGTCTCAGGAAATGGCCCTAAAATCTCACAAATATGAGATGAAATTGTAACAAGGAACATGTCGTCACAGCAGTAATATTGTGCTTCTGTTAGTCAAACACAGACAAAAAGAGGTTCTCCTTAATACTTCAAACAATCAAGTTAGATTGAACTGTATCACTGCACATCTCAAAAATAATTGTGTTTCTAGTGGCCTGTATTGGCTATAATGTCGTTTCATAAATAATCAATAAGTAAGCTAGATTTTGTTCATGTTGTTGTGTTCTGATTCTAGCTGGGAAGGTCGGCTCCAAGAATAAGGAGGATGCTCCTTATGAGTTGGAGAGCCAGTTTGTCTTGAGACTTCCTTCGGTGAGACTGTCTTAAATGTTAAACTTGATTATTTCTGTGAAATTCAGCGTGAACTTTTCCTGAAAATGATGCGGACTCATCTCTTTTTTTTTTACAGGAGTATGCCTCAACAGTAAGAAGGATTGCCCAATCTAGCAGTATGAACATGAAAGACAGACTCACCATTGAGTTGCACCGTAAGTTGGTTTATCATAGTACCTACCCGTGATTAAGTCTGACCTGTGTGACATCATTGCTCAAAAAGTGTTTTAATTTGTATTAATAATCACTTCCAAAATTAAAATGAAAATATTTGGCCAGCTGGAATTGGCATTGTCATAATTTTTATTTTTTGTTTTTCTGAGGGGGGATAAGTTATTTTGCACAACTGTCAATTTGACAGCAATATTGAAGTGTCATTACATTTGATACCAAATAATCTCATGCAGCTTGTATTATGTGTGTTATGCTTGTCTGAGAAGCATGTTTTACACCCGCGTCTTTACTCTGTTTTAACAATGACTGTCTTAATGGCAGTGATTACCACAGTCTCACTCACAGCATCTTATTACAATCAATCATGTTGTACCTCATATTTGTAGCTGATGGTCGCCATGGCATCGTGAGAGTAGACCGCGTCCCTTTGGCGTGCAAACTGGTGGATCTGCCCTGTATGATTGAGTCTATGAAAACGGTGGACAAAAAGACATTTTACAAGACTGCTGACGTCTGCCAGGTAAACAGTGGTATTAAACTGAATTCATTTTTATTGGATACATTTTGCATTTGTTGTTGTCAGTGGATGCATATTTGTTGTTAGGTTTAGGATACAAATTGTGAATAAAAACTACATTTAAATTTTATTTTTTTTTTACATTTACAGTGTTGTCTCACATTTTCTTGTTATAAAATGGTAGAAGAGCAGCATTAATCAGCAGAATGCTGAGTAATTTACCATTCACTGTTGCATCCATGCGATAGATGCTGGTATGTACACTAGATGGAGACCTTTACCCTCCTTTAGAGGAGCCAACTGGCACTGACCCTAAGAGCAAGAAGAAGGACAAAGACAAGGACAAGAAATTCGTTTGGAACCATGGCAGTAAGTAGAGAAACATCCACACACACGACAGCCTTTTCAACTGTTCCTGTTGACATCTTGGCACATCAGCAATTCGGGAATGTATGCCTTCCACAGCTCACTGGGTCTTTTGGTTTCACTAATCCTGTTCTTTTCGGTCTCCAGTCACCTGCCCTCTGAAGAACACGCGCAAAAGAAGATTTCGGAAGACTGCGAAAAAGAAGGTTTTGACATTTCCATTTGCCCTTCAGAATCCCCTTCCCCTTCCACATCAGTCTATTTAGTTTCCTGCTTGATGAGCCATCTCTTTCCTAGGCTCTCAAGATATTTACATTTCATAAAGTAGGAACTGTGGTGAAAGTGAAAACTAAGATTTACATATAAATAAAGCTTTTCCATTTTTGTTTGCCCCAAAGGTATGCAAAATATTGCTTTGATCAAAGTGAAAGCAAGTGTGCTTGAGCTCTACACTTCTTCTTTGTCTTTTGAATAAATCTTCCTCAAGGTGCAGAGCTGAGCTGTATTGATTTGGCCCCTTCTGTTTTTAATCGCTAATGTGCTTCCTGGCATGTGTCCAGCTGCTACTTGTGTGTTTTTGTGTGTATGAAGGTCTGACTGAGAAAGAGCGAGGGAGACACTGCTAACACTACTTGTAACCTAATCTCTTTCTCTCTGGCAGTACATTGAATCTCCTGATGTGGAAAAGGAGGTGAAGAGGTTGCTGAGCACAGACGCTGAGGCTGTCAGTGTCCGTATCCTTTTAGGCAGCTACAAATATTCTGCTTGTCCATCTTGCAAAGCCCAAGAAGCAGCAAAACTGTCCAGGACAAATACTACTGGGCCAGAAAAGGAGGCTGCATTCTGTAATGTAGAATTAGACGGAAATTATTTCTGATGTGAGGTCTGATCCCATGCCATGACTTTTGGCTTTTAAGAACCATCAAATAGTTAATGACATTTTTAGGACGAACATAACCCCACTCCCATCTAACGACTGATCTTGATCTAATGACTAAGCTGGTGTCCAAGCTCCTGCTTGGCTCACCTTCCTTGACTCTTTCTAATGTTTTGGTGAGAGAGATGCACTTTGCAAGGAAGCTATTAGCTCTCAAATGAAACTCTAAACTTGCCTGATGGAATAAGAGCACAGCATGGACTCTGAGTGCCTGCTTGCTGTGTGTTAATTGAGATGGACTGTTAATTATCATTGCTTATTTGGTCACAGTGAAGCTAGATTCTAATTATAGTTTTAGTATTGACATGCAGCTGCAGACATACACATGACACACTAATGAATGGTAAAATTAAAGTAGTTCCTGTGGAGTGTCATCTGGTTTCAAAGAAGAGTTTGCTAAAGTCAGAACTCTGAAAGACTCCTTAAGTGTAGGACTTATGGTGGTTGAGATGACTTTACAGGTGTGTTGACCTTAACCCATGATATTCAGGGTGGGAAGTAATAGCAGAAGATGAGTCCAAGGAAGCAGATCAGCACGGCTCTCTGGCCAACCTGGACTCCTCACCTGGCACCTCAGGAAACAACATAGGTCATGGATCCTCTGGTAAATGAAACATGTTTTTATTAGTAAGGCATTGTGATTAAGGTGTGATGGGCATCATCATCTCGCTCTGCCAGCTAAAGCAGATAAAGCAGAGTGTATTAGGACCTCAACCATGTGTTTTATAGAAACACAAAGCAATAAATGCTGTAATAAACCTTTTAGGTGAACAATATTGATATTAAAATGAACATGTTCAAAATTAGGAATTTGAACAAAATATGCAGTAAGTGGGGCATCTCACCAAGTCGTTGTCCATCTCTAGTGTTGTGCATGAACCCGCTAAAAGAGCACTGGTTATTGAACATGCTCATTCTTTCCACAAACGGTGAACTGAACATTGAATATTGTGAACATGAGCCTTGTTAACATGCAGGGTGGTGAACGTGAACGGCTTCATTCACTATGGCGAACAAATGTAACACCAGCCTGTTAAAACGAAGCTCCCTCTCTAAGTTTCCCCTACAAATTCTAGGATCACTTGCTTTGAACATCACATCCCCACATCAGCACCATTATCATGTTAAAACAGAGCGTCACACCACCCACTCGTTATACATGAGACTTAAAACAAATGCACCCTCGAGCTGCAGCAGCAGAACAGTAGAATGGAGAGAGACTGGTGGGGAGATCCACCGGCAAAAAGTATCCAGGTATAACCATATTAATATTTATATATCACTATAATGATTTGAATAAAAAAAAACATTTATGGGTTTCTTCATACCCGTAGTCACTTAATTTCCTTCTTTCATTTTTGGGTGTCTCTGTAAAGCAGCGCTGCGATAGGCAAAAATACCCGTGCCCTATTATTTTGTCGTTTCACAGCTGATTCCCCAAGAGCTCAGGATATAGCACTAAGTGTATTTTACATGTGATAAAGTGGTAAACAGAAAATAGTTCTAATGCTCAAAGCAGGTCATTTAAAAAATTAAAATTGAAGAAATGAACAGGTTCATTTTAAAGTGTGAATTGAACTTGGAGTGGGATCTTGCGAATCAAATCAAATTTTATTTGTATAGCGCCAAATCACAACAAAAGTCATCTCAGGGCATTTTATAAAGTAAGGTCTAGACCTTCTTATTATCAATATTATTACAGAGGGAAAACTCAACAAATCCCCCTTGAGCAAGCACTTGGCGACAGTGGGGAGGAAGTCTGAACTTGCACAACACTGTCCTTCTGTAAATTACCTCAAACTCAGTTTCTCTGTATTCCTCTTTGTGTCCATGTTCATAACACACATGTGGTTTCTGCATGGGCAGCCCAGCATGATGAACTGAGGGAGATCTTCAATGACATCAGCAGCTCCAGTGAGGATGAGGAAGACGAAGGGGACCGGCATGAGGACGAGGACCTGAATATCATGGACACGGAGGATGATCTGGTCCGACAGCTCCAAGTCAACGAGTCTGATTCTGCCCAGCATGAAAGTGACAGAAACAGCCAGATAGGTGAGAAGGACACCGGGGTTATATGCAGATGCAGTTATATGCCGGGGTCAGATGCAGTATTGACAATTGTAGCTTATTGAGGTATGAAAGAGATGTACTATTATATAATGAATTTTATGTTCCTGACATGTAGAACCACAACAATTAATCGAGTCGTTGTTTTAGTTCATTTTTCAAGGAGAAATTCCAAATATTTGCTGGTTCATGGATCTCCAATGTGAGGATTTGCTGCTTTTCTCTTTTGTCTAATTTTAAGATTGTTGATTGGACAAAAGGGAATTTCACAACATCACCTTGGGCTCTGGAAATGATATCAGTATTTTCCACTGCTTTCTATAGACATTTTATAGATTGAATAATGAATCCATTCACTGAATTAAAAGAATTGCCCCATTGATTGATAATGGAAAATATTGTACGTTCTAGCCTGACACGGTGTTGTATTTATTGTAAAAACACAATTTACGTTCCATACCACATTGTTTCCAGTTCAGAAATTGAGGTCTGAAAAAGGTGGTTAATTTTGTCAGAGAAGTACATGTAGAAGATGACATGCATCTAAATGGAAACCGTGTGTGTATATACAGTGGGTACGGAAAGTATTCAGACCCCCTTAAATTTTTCACTCTTTGTTATATTGCAGCCATATGCTAAAATCATTTAAGTTCATTTTTTTCCTCATTAATGTACACACAGCACCCCATATTGACAGAAACACACAGAACTTTTGACATTTTTGCAGATTTATTAAAAAAGAAAAACTGAAATATCACATGGTCATAAGTATTCAGACCCTTTGCT